GAGGTTATGCAGCCATCTATATTTAGGCAGTAGTGAAAGCTGAGATTATTCAGGGAGAAGATCACCAAAGACATAACTCTAGAGGGTATCTCACGCTGAAGGTGGGGAAAGGGTAGTGTAGGAGGTAGAAGAGGCTGTGAGTGCTAATATTTATCAAGTGTTAAAATTTATCAGTATTTCCTAAAATGTTAATATTTATCAAGAGTTAAAATTTATCAAGAAAGGGCCAAATCCTAACAACCTCTTCTCTTTAAATTCGCACACCCATTCTTTGGTAACTATGAGCTATGTTGTGTCACTATCTTCATTTTATAAAGAACTGAGGCTTGTCAATATCCAGTAATTGGTCCAAGGTGTCACCAAGTAAGCAATAGATAGAGGATTTTAATCTGTGATTAACATATAGGACTCAGCACTGCATTGTATTGCTTCTCACATAGCAACAGTAGGAAAAGCTAGCGAGCTAAATAGAGGAGTCTGGCCTCAGGAAAACTAAGAAAGGAGAATTTTAAGAAGGAGGGAATGATCAATAATATAAAATGTCTAACAAGTTTATGTAAAAAATATAATTAAAAACAACCATTGGTTTCACAATTAGGAAATCAGTACTGGTTAACCTGATTCTTGGCAGGTCTAGCAGCCCTTCTTGGTTCCAGGTAGATCCAGGAATAGAGACCCAAGAAGATACATGGACTTCGGCCATAGCCTAAAAATTTCAGGGTCATCTACAGAGGGATTAAAGTTCCCCAGGAAATTTATAGGAAAGGTGTATAAGGGTTTAGCCAGGACAGAACCAGTTTTGGATACACAGCAATTAAAACAAGGCCAGTTATAGTAAGTTTACAGCCCTGTCTCACTGCCCTAGAGGCAGCAGCCCAAGTTTTACTAAGCTTAATACCAGAGCAGACTTATAGCCTTAGATCGCTGGGTTGTAGCCTTGAGTATAAAGATCTAATATTGGAATGGTACTTTGGAAGTTTCAAATTGTTTCCACGTACTTTATCCTCACAGCCATCTGGTGAGATCCTTTCTCCATTTTATGGATTAGGAAACTGAGGCTGGGAGTGGATAATGTTTGTATTGGGAGACGAAAACACTACACACAATACCAGTCCACTTACTTTGAACTATCTGCTGCTCTAGTGTGAAATGCCATCAGACACAGTGCTGCGTTTTTTGGGCCTACATAGGAAGGATTTCAGACCTGACATCTCTTTCCCAATCATTGCCCAACCCACAAGCATTACAGGAAAGTGACACAATCATTTGAGAAATTTTCTCCATGTATGTTACACATTTTACAGGCAAAAACGACCATGATCACACACACATCTGCACCGGCTCTGATCCCGTGCAGTGGATGAACGAGCTGGAGTGGCCACCGATGTCTGATTGGGCAGGGAGAACCGCACATCCTTGTGTTTTATAATACCCTTGGGTTCTTCACAACAAATGCAATGCTTCCTAATTACAATTTGGTAAAATACAAAGTGTACAATGAAGAAAATAATATTATCACCCAAAGATAACCCTGTTAACACTTTGGTGTGTATCATGCCAGCTGTCTTATTTTTGTTCACACTCACATATGTACATGCATTAACAGAAATATTGATCATTTTAAGTATTGTTTAGTAACCTGTTCATGTGATATGTTGTGGACTTTATTTTCATGTTAAAAAATGTAGTTCTCAATATCATTGCTAACATTTGCACGGTGTTCTATTGTATGGAGATGTCAGACCTTATTTAAGCAAACATATTGTTGGATGTTTAGGTTGCTTGAACATTCTCTATATTACAGATGGAGGAAGAGCTGCTTATTTCCTTAGAATAATTACAAGAGCGGAATAACAGGGATGAAGAGAATGCATATTTCAAATTTTGATTTGTATTGTCAAACTCCTATTTATATTCCTGACAACTTGTCTAAAAGTGGTAGCTTCCTAATTCTTTGCCAACGTGAAATGATTTCATTTGTTTCTTTATCTCTGCCAGTTTCCATGGAGAACATAAGAACTATATTAGTCACTTATGAGTATTATTTCTAATCCTGAGAATAATTCTCTGAGGTGTGTATTATTATCTCTACCCTACATTATAGATAAGGAAAATGAGGTTCAGAGTCCACAGGACACTTTGGAGCGTCCAGAGGAGAGCAGGTCAGCAGGCAATAATTTATCAAGTCTTTTATTCATTAACTGACCACTGAGTACCAATGTGGGACAGAGGATTTTATTTGGCATTGGAGATGTTTGCCATTGCTTGTTCCTCTGCCAGTCTGTTATGTTGGGCACTGGGAAAGGATTGCCTGCAGCTGTGGAGGGGAGCTAATATAATGAAACACTATTTGATTGACATTCAGGGAGGCCTAAATTCAGCCCACCTACTGCCCCCTCACCTGAATGGCTTTGGAGGCTCTCACTACATGGTAGAAAAGATAAGAGCAAGACTCTCCCATGGAACTGCTTCAACTCTGCTTTGAGAATTGGGTGACTCAGATAGCTTGTGTTTTAGTTTCATCATCTGTAAAATGGGCATAATGGTAGCCTACTTTGGTGTATTAGTTTACTGTTTAAAAACCCCATAGATTTGGTGGCTTACAACAACAGAAGTTTATTCTCTCACGGTTTAGGAGGCCAGAAGTCCAAAATCTGTTTCACCTAGTGTCTTGCCAATGGGTTTCAGCCCCCGGCAAGTTCGCTATGGATTCAATGTGACCAAAGAAATTGACAGCAAAGAGTTCTTGGGGTGAAAGGGTTATACCCAACTTTATTTCCAGGTGGCAGGTCAGTCACCAAAATCCCGTTCACTCAGAGTGAGTCTGCAGGCAGCAAGCTGGTCTCTGCCTCTGGGCCCCTCTGCCTGCACAGCCAGCCTCTGGGTCTCTCTGCATGCCCAGCTGTCCCGCAGAGCCATCCTCTGGGCCTCTGTCCTCTGCGTTGCCACCACTCCAGCCTCTGCTCTGCTCTCCTGCAGCCTTGTGGCTGTGCCACCGTGTCGTGCCCAGAGCACTGGGTGGAGCTCTTTTTATAGAGCCAACAGTCATATATTGCTCACAGGTGTGCAGTGAGCTAGTCAGCCAGGGCCAGGTGAGAACCCTGGCCACAGGAACTTTCATTTTATCCACACCTAGCCAAAATCAAAGTGTCTGTAGTTGCCATAGGAGTGCTCCAGAGGCTAGAGGCATGCCTTCCTGGGCTTTTCAGTTTCTGGTGGCTCCTGGAATTCCTTGGTTTACGGCTGCATTACTGTAATTTCTGTCTCCAAGGTTGTACTGCTTGTCCCCCTTCTGTTTCTCTATCAAATCTCTCTGTGCCTTCCTCTTACAAGGATACATGTGATTGCATTTAGGGCCCATTCTGATAATCCAGGATAAATTCGCCATCTAGAAATCCTTGACTTAATCTGCAAAGATTATTGCCACATAAGGAACATTTACTGATTCCAGGGAACAGGGCCAGACATCTCAGAGGGCCCTTATTCAGTTTACTTCAAGGAGGAGCTGCCAGTTGAGAGGATTGAGCAAACATCAGCCTGTTTCCTCCTGTAGTAAGAGCCTCACTTACAGGACTGCTATAAATTTTTCTTTTTTTAAAAATTTTTTATTAAGGTATGATTGATATACACTCTTACGACGGTTTCACTTGAAAAAAAATGTGGTTACTACATTTACCCATAGTATCAAGTCTCCACCCATACCACAGTGCAGTCACTGTCCACCAGTGCAGCAAGATGCCACAGATCCACTATGTGCCTTCTCTGTGCTACACTGTTCTCCCCGTGATCCCCCCACACCATGTGTACTAAACATAATACCCCTCAATTCCCTTCTCCCTCCCTTCCCACCTGCCTTCCCACACCCCTCCCCTTGGTAACCACTAGTCCCTTCTTTGAGTCTGTGAGTCTGCTGCTATTTTGTTCCTTCAGTTTTGCTTCATTGTTATACTCCACAAATGAGAGAAATCATTTGGCATTTGTCTTTCTCAGCCTGGCTTATTTCACTGAGCATAAGGTTCTCCATCTCCATCCATGTTGTTGCAAATTGTAGGATTTCTTTCTTATGGCCAAATAGCATTCTATTGTGTGTATGTACCACATCTTCTTAATCCATTCATCTACTGATGTACACTTAGGTTGCTTCCGTATCTTGGCTATTGTAAAAAGTGCTGTGATGAACATAGGGGTGCATATGTCTTTCTGAATCTGAGAAGTTGTATTCTTTGGGTAAATTCCAAGGAGTGGGATTCCCGGGTCAAATGCTATTTCTATTTTTAGTTTTTTGAGGAACCTCCATATCGCTTTCCACAATGGTTGAAGTAGCTTACATTCCCACCAGCAGTGTTAGGAGGGTTCCCCTTTCTCTGCATCCTCACCAGCATTTGTTGTTCTTAGTCTTTTCGATGCTGGCCATCCTTACTGGTATGAGGTGATATCTTATTGTGATTTTAATTTGCATTTCCCTGATGATTAGTGATGAGGAGCATCTTCTCATGTGTCTGTTGGCCATCTGAATTTTTTCTTTGGAGAACTGTCTCTTCATATCCTCTGCCCATTTTTTAATCGGGTTATTTGCTTTTTGGGTGTTGAGGAGGACTGCTATAAATTTCAGACAAAGCTCAGAGTTAGTAAGGTACAAGAGAGACTGTAGGTAAGCATGAAGTAAAAACACACCTGTTAAGTTTCTCCTCCTCCCACTACTCTCGGCTTCGCAAATTCCTTCTCGCCTGGGGGCCTCCAACCCCGCCTGCTCGCCTTCTAACCACCCGCCTTCGAGGAATCCCCACCTCACACCCCGCCCCTCCTGCCGCGCCCACCTGGTTTGGCCTCCTCCGCCCGTAGCGCGTTAACGGCGTGAGGGTCTTCGCGGCCTGTCCATTATACAGCCTATCGAACCGTAGCATATTCTAACCCAATTTTGTCTCCTTTCCAGGGCTGTAGATTATTCATCAAGCTCAGCTAGATTTAGTGAGCTTAACGGTGGCAATAGAGATGCACTTTAATGAAATGTGAGAGCAGAAGCTGTTGGAAGAAGACTGGCAATATTTAAGACAGCCTGCACGAGTGGGAACGGGTCCTGCACACCTCGGCCGCCAAGCCCCGGCCGGCTCGTCGCGCAGGCGCTGTGGGCCCGATTCGCCATGCCGACTGTCAGCGTGAAGCGCGATCTGCTCTTCAAAGCGCTGGGCCGGACTTACAGTGAGTGCCGCCGGCCCCATAGCCTGGGCTCTGTGCCTCTCCTCCGAGGCTGGGGTCCCTTCCAAATAGGCATTGTGGCAACGTTCATGGTGTCGGGCAGGTTTCGGTCTCGGGCGATCTGCGTCGGAGGGCTGATGGCCGAAGCAGCCGGGCTGGGCTGGTGGAGCGGCTTGGAGCGGGTTTTGCGGCGCGCGGCTGCCTGTCACCCGCTTGAGCTCGGCTCTGCTTGTCATTCCTTCAGTGACCCCGCATAGAGCGCCTGCTGCTCGCCAGGTGCCTGGGGATGCACTAGGATTGAAGCCCCCGGTTGCCTCCCGAGTGTAGCTAGTTGAGGGCAGTAACAGCGCTGCGGGAGCTCCGCTTATGAGAGAAGGTGGGAGGAGAAATTTTGCGTAGGAGAGGGGACGGTATTCTGTGTGTCTTTTATTTTATGAATGTTTGCCGAGGGCTTATATGCCAGGCAGTGTTCTAAGCGCGTAAGGTCCACGTTCACGAAATTTCATTCGGAAAGATTGATGTTATTGAGATGTACTTCAGACAGGTCAGAAGTAATACTCATCATTTTTATTTCATATGTTCTGTTGAAGGAGACAATAATCAGCGCATTAATAAAATCATTTCAAAAAACGCTAAGTGCTATCAAGGAAACAAAGATGTCCTGCTAAGAGCAACATTAGATGGGGCGGTGACATTTGAGCTAAGATCTGAATGACGAGGAGCCTATGATGGGCTTCATCTTCAGGCTATACTTCATATATCTCTTCAGTTCTAAAAACGCTAGCCTTTCTATAAAGGGGGAAAGGTTCAGTACAGTGCTCATTTTCCACGTAGATGTAGCACTTGAAAACACAGCCGTCCCATTTCATAATATATTAGTTTGCCTAAAAGTTGTACCAACTGATTGGTGAGAGCTGTTTTTGGCGTTAGAGCTCAATGTGATAATAAGGGCCTAATCGGTATAACAGGTACTAACTCTTGAAGTGGTATTCTTTGGAGGGTTCTGCCATAAATCCCTGAAAATATAGGTAATACTCTTGCCCTCTGTACTCGACTCTAATTGCTTACACCTTTTATAATATGCCTGTTTGTTACCCATTTTTCTAAACCGTATTCTCACTAGTGGTATATGATATGCCTGAATTGCACATGATGGCATGCGGCAAATACTTATTCAAGACATTTATGATCAGTTCCCACCCAGGTATCCATCTCTAGAAAAGTAAGAAATAATCTAGGCTTGAAAAAATGGTGAGATTTAGAACCCATTTACTGTCATCTGATGTTTTAATACATTCTCTGGCTGCCCTGCTCCCCCCCTTTTTTAATATATTGAGGGAGATCAGATAGGCTTGATTTTCCGCAAATATCTGTCAGCTACTGACTTAAAATATTTCATTTGGAAAGATTGATGTTATTGAGATGTACTTCAGACAGGTCAGAAGTAATACTCATCATTTTTATTTCATATGTTCTTTCTTGAAACCTTTTAACTGTTAATTGTGTTGAGGTCACAGCTGGAAAAGCATGTTTGGCAAAGCATCTGGTTGCCAAGCAGTGAGAATCTATCTGGTTTCTTACCCTCTTATTTTTTTTATCAGTCTTCCTTTTTTTTTTCTTGTTGGCGAATGTCTCTTTCACTCTTTTCTATCCCCGTTCCTTTTCATTTTTCCAGCCACTCCACGGGTTGCTTTTTGAAGGAAATTCCATTGTTTCTACCAGTCACTGCCTTCATCCTCTTTGCTTATCAAGGATATTCTCAAGTTGCTTTTGTTCTGGTTATTTTGCTCCTCTGGGGGTAGTTTTGTCTCCTTAGTTTCCCCTTTTATTGCCCTTCTGCTTGGATGTTTTCCTCTTGCCACTCATTTTCTTGTGAACTGATTTATCACTGTTTTACCTTGGTGTAATTGCTGGCAATACTGTCAGAACCTCCTGTGCCTATCATACAAGCCCTAAGATGTAGTTACTTAGGTGTGTCATTTTGTTAGAGGGAATTAATCATGATTTTGTTGATTCTTCCTTGCTTCAAAGCACGTGAAATACAGTTAAAAGAAATAACACAAATTGTAAGATAATTAGGATTCATTGAAAGAGTCAGTGTTTAGTGATTCTATACAGGTCTGACCAGTAACCATTTAGTTATTTCTGCATAACAAATGATCCCTAAATTTAGCAGCTTAAAACAGCTATCATTTGTTACATGGTTTCCGAAGTTAAGATTTGGGAGTGGCTTAGCTGAATGGTTCTGTCTACAAGAGGTTGTAGTAAACGTGCCAGCTTTGTAGTCATTTCAAGTCCTAACAGGCTAGAGAGTCTTAATTCCAAGTTCACTCAAGTGGTTGTTGGTAGGCTTCAGTTCCTTCCTGATTTTTGATCAGAGAAATCAGTGCCTCCCACCCTGACAGCATCATAGGACTACTTCCAATATGATGGCTTGTTTGTCCCAGACGGGTAGGTCTGAGACAGCAGATGATTGAGAAGAGTGCTCAGAGTAATAGAAGCCACAGTTTTCAGTAACATCTGAGAAGCGATACACCATCTTGTGCCATGTTTTCTAGGCCAAAGACCTCTCCTGGCAGGGTGTGACTAGTAGGAGGTAGGTGTGCTTGGAAGCCATCTTGCAGGCTGACTACCACAGCCTGTCTTCTGGCCCCCAAGGCTCCTGTTCTCACATGTGAAATATACTCACCCCCCTCTGTCTTGCTAATGGATTTCAGCCCCAGACAAGTTCACTGTGGATTCAGTGAGACTGAAAACTAACAATGGAATATTTTTGGGGTGAAAGGGTTTATACCCAACTTTACTCCCACGGTGGCAGGTCAATCACTAGAATCCTGTCCACTCAGAGCAAGTCTGCATACAGCACACTGGTCTTTGCCTCTGGGCCTCTCTGCCCCCCAGCTGTCTCAGTCTCTGTCCTCGGCTCTGCCACCACTCTAGTCTCTGCTCTCCTGCAGCCTTGCAGCTGTGCAGCACCCAGAGCACTGGCAGAGCTCTTTTTATAGAGTCAGTAACAATGTATAGCCCACACATGTGTAGTGAGCTAGCCAACCAGGGCCAGGTGAGATTCCTGGCCATAGGAACCTCCACTTTATCCACACTCCACCCCTCCAGGATTCTCGCCTCTCAATCTATGTACCCTCAATCTTCTGCAATGGTTCCTGTGCAAGGAAGCTGGAACTTTGTAACCAAAATCAATAATAACAACAGAGGCTATGATAATTTACAAAGAACAAAAATTAGGACAAATTATAATAACCCTCAAGCCTGAGGAGATCCACTGTCACCAAGTGGTCATCCTGGCTGTATTCAAACCAGTTCTACTCAAAGGAGTTAACCAGAAGGACCATGAGTGGGCCTTACAGTACCCACCTTCTCCAACCCCTCCAGCAGAAAGTCTTGCAGATACACAGGCTGATCGTGTTGCTTTGTCTCTGGCTTCTGCTTCGTCCCCAGTGGCCGGAACAGCTGCTCCACTTTCAATTGTTGCCACAGCTCTAGTAAGATTCTGTTTGACTTTCCATCCAATTTTTTTCTGTCTGCTCCTGCCTTTATCAAATCAACCCATATCTGGGCCCTCGTAAACTTCATGGGGCCCTTTAAATTCTTCTTTCAATCAAACTATTTCCTTCTGTGCTTCCATTACTTGAGCCTGAGGATGGGAGCAGAGCATAGAGTGCTCCACAACCTGGAGAGGGGGCTGCACTTCTCCTTGGGGGAACCTGCGCTTGCCGGATCTTTATTTTCTTTTGGGCTTTCCACCAGCTTTCAACCGGGTGGGTTTCAACCCAGGGGGTGCTGATGCCTCCGGGACCTGCAGGCCCTCCACCCCCACCTGTTCATCAGACCTTAGCTCCTCCTCCATTTCTGGGGCTGACGGCTCCACTACATCCTTCACCTGCCCCAGGCCCCTGGCAGCCTGCGCTCCTGCGGCTTCCTCTCAGGCCGCTGCTCCTTCTCGTGCTGTTTCCTCTCGGGCCACTGTGACATCCTTTACCATTTCTACAGCACCTCATAGTGATGCCATTTCAGTCACCCATAAATTTTTTACCTCTTCAGTGGCACCTCTTAGCTCATGTTCTCATGATGCCTCTTCTCGTGCTTCCTGCAGGAAGGCGTCTTTCTCCCTTATGGCCTTTCTCAATATTGTGAGGAAAAGCCTTCCCACCGTTCCTGCCACCTCACAGGCACTCTGTTTCTCTAGGAAGTCCCTATTTTACTGAGGGCCAACTTTAGTGTCTCAGGCATCACCTCCACCCCTTCCCAGTACTGGGGTGGGGCCCAGTCCTCTAGGAGGCAAGCCACCTCAGACCAGATGTCCACTGGGGTGCATTCAACTGTCTCCCCATCCACAGGGGCAGCCCGCTGAAGCACTCCTCCCGTGAGGGCAGCCTGTTCTGTTCCTCGGTCAATAGTGAATCCTGCCGACTGTCGCCAGTGTCTCACCAGTGGGTTTCAGCCCTTGACAAGTTCACTCTGGATTCAGTGAGATCAAAAAGTAACAGTGGAATGTTCTTGGGGCAAAAGCGTTTATACCCAACTTTATTCCCACAGTGGCAGGTCAATCACTAGACTCCTGTCCACTCAGAGCGGGTCTGCACAAAGCAAGCTGGTCTCTGCCTCTGGGCCTTTCTGCCCCCACAAGCCATCTCTGTCATCAGCACTGTTAGCACTCCAGTCTCTGCTCTCCAGCAGCTGTGCCACATTGTTGCCCAGAGCACTGGGCAGAGCTGTTTTTATAGAGTCAATAATGTATTGCTCACACGTGTGTAGTAAGCTAACTGAACAGGGCCAGGTGAGGATCCTGGCTATAGGAAACTTCACTTTAGCCGCACGCAGGGCCCCTAGAAGTTCACTCCACTACAGCAGCAGCTAAAAAAATTAAAGTCCAGAGTCTCATCATCTGAATCAGGTCCCAGTGTGGATGTAGTTCCTCAATTATAGTTGCTTGAGTAGTTGGTTACTCTTGGCCTAAGAGACTAAAACGACAGATTATCTGCTTCACCTACACCTAACGTACAGTGGTGGGACAGGCATAGGTGACACCCACACACATTCCTCTTCAAAAGTGGGGAAATGGGAGACACAAAGGGGTCAGTCATTGGTCCGTGGCAGTTCTGAAACTGAGCGGCCAAAATGCTGGATATTCTGGATTAGGTCGCAAGGCCTGGAATCAGTCTCCGTGGCCCTCAGCCCTACCTTCCAGGCTCTTGGTTCCACCCTCTGAGTGATCCTTATTTTTGGAGAAAGAAAGCTAGGGCCTGAGAGCTGATTGGTTCTCTCAGTCTATTTCCTGCTGATAGATTTTGGGGATTCAGAAACTTCATTTTGTCCTGTCTCTGACCTTTTTAGCTCAAGTTTGCTATGTTTCTGCATATGTATTTCTTTTCAAAACTAAGTGTATTTGGTGAATTTACCTGGTTTCCATTTAATGAGGCAAAAGCCACACCACCTGCAAATCTCTTTACCTTGGGCCTTTGCTGATATAATTCCCTTAATTAAACTCAGTTGTGTGCATGAATTTGAGGCACACCTTTTTTTAGTGCCTTTTGTCTGAATAAAGAATGTCTTCAATCTTTCTTAGTTTTAAGATTTCATAATTATACCTTTAATTTCGTCTTTCGACCGTGTTTTCCTGGCAATGCTGTGGATTTGTTCTTTGCTCAGGAGTCATTTCTTAATTGTAGTGTTGTTTTACGTTGGGAGAGGCTGAGAAATTTTAAAACTATTCAAGTTCTGGCTTCCTTTTTTATAATCCTTTATAGTTTATCTCTTCTCTCACATTATAAGCAGCAAGAACAAAACCAGGTGGTCACTTTCAGCACTGGTTGGAAGTCTTAGTTACATCACTCTATTGAGTAGGTACATTTTCTACAGTTCGCATAACTGTAGGCAACAGCGTTGCTAAACTTTGTGCCCCTACATGAAAAGGATTCTCTTTCTGCTAGTTTCTGGTAACGCTCACTTTCCTCCATATCCTCACCTGCGTCCTTCTCAAAGGCTATGAGGCCCCTGTTAACAGCTTTTTCAAGGCACTTAAGGCTTTGATTTTTACTCTGAACAGTTTCTCCCCATGTTTTGTTACGGCAGCACAACACTTTCAAGGACTCAAGTCTGTATTACCTATTGCTACCCAGACACTTAGGAGTGTAAAACAATAAAGCTTTTTTATTTCACGGTTTTGGAGAGAGAGGAATGGATGGGTGGTTTAGCTGGCAGTTCTGGGTCTCTCACCAGGTTGCCCCAGGCTGTTGGCTGGGCCTGTGGTCATCTCAGGGCTTAGCTGGGGGTGTGAATATGCTTTCAAGCTCACTCCTGAGGCTGTTTCAGACCTCAGTTCACACAAGAGTGTGAATACCAGGAATCGGGGGACACTGGGGAGCTCTGTTATTCCTTGTCCAATTAATGATGATACCCCCACTCACTTGTTCACTCACCTGAGACCTAGTGGTCATCCCAGCCTCCTGCTCACTCACTAGTCCTGCCTCCCATTCAAGCACTGAACCTTCCAGATTCTGCCTCTTTCACATTTCTCACATTCTTCCACATGCTCCCTGCTGCTCAGGTAGGACAGAGGGCAAATCCTTTGACTTGTCTTGATTTGATTTCTTCCTACTCTTTCCATCATATCTCTTCCTGACATGAACTTTATGCTTCATCCATATTGAACTCTCCAGTTTGTCATACTGTTGTCTCAGTGTTCACTCTCTCTGCCTGATGACCTCCTTTCTGTGAAGCCTTAGCTGACCCCAAGTGGAACAGATTACTTCCTTTGTGCCATCCCTGTAGCTTGCACTTAACTATATTTATACATCTGATTTCCTTAGTAGAGGAGGAAGTACTTAAGGCAGGAATTGTGTTTTTATTTTTAAGGCCTTAGCCCCTACTCCATTGCCTGTCATATAGTAGGTGCTCACTAAATGTTTGTTAAATGGAAGTTAAGTTTCAGGATCAGGAATCTTAAGACCAACTTTTCACTAGAACATACTGGTAGTGATGGTTTGTGTCTGATTTTTGATACTGAGAAAACCCAGAAAATGCTGTTATCAGGTAACAAAGCAAAGTAGAGTATAATTTAACAATAAGGAAGAGAACTATGAATTATTGCAGACCTGTTTCACGGTGCTATTATCTGCATGATCTCACTGAAATCTTTATAACAGTTCTAGGCTATTAAAAAATGGCTATGAAATGTTACTTTATGGTATGGATAAGGCACTTTGATCCACTTTATGGGTGAGACATAGGAATTAGGTAGTTTACATAAAGTACCAAGCTCTCAGAATTTAGTAAGTGGGATAGTCAGAATTAACTCTGATTGGCCTGGCTCCAAAGTCTTTTGTCAGGCCTCCCCAGACTTTTAAATGATAGGGCTTATGTGACATTATTCCATTGTGTTGAATCTGTAATTTAGAACCTGCTTTATATATGATCCTTAACAGGGTGTTTTTCTCCAAAGTAAAGGTAGTAAAAATAACCTAATTCTGTGATGAATCTAGTTAGATGAGCCAGCCCTTTAATAGTTTTGTTTTTCTTATTTTTTTAATTCTTTTCTTTTTTTGGTCAAGCTGTTGTTTTCAAATGGTGATGCCTGATGCCTGATATTTAGTATGCTTGGCGTAAGGCAATTAATAAAAATGCAATTTATCTATTCATTTTTTTCTTAACAGATTAGAATTAGTTATCTCCTATTTTTTTTTTCTAGCTGATGAAGAATTTAATGAACTATGTTTCGAATTTGGTCTGGAACTTGATGAAATTGTATGTATCAGATATTTATTTTTTATATATGTGGTCTATAAACTCATTTTTCAGAGGTTTACTATATTTTATCATTGTTACCCTTATGGTTAGACATAAGGTAGAACATTTGTGGGTCATGGTGATTCCTATGTCCTGTATTAAGGGGCTAAACTCTGGTTCTTAAAGTGTCTATTGCTTTTGTTTCAAATTTCAAAAACCTCCTAACAAAAATGAACATTCTTACCTTGTTTTTCCCTCTGCTGCTTCACTGCTATAGGTAGGTTTTTTTTTTTTTGTATTAATGAGCATCTGTATGCTTGAGAAGTAGGCTGAGATTTCTGTAGTTTATATTAAATTGCTATTAATAATTTTATTAGGCCTCAAAATTATGTTTGAGGCAGCATAATATCCCAGAGCATTGAACTGGATGTCAGAAAATTTGAGTAAGTTCATGCTTGGTGTCGTGTAACCATGGACAATCACTTTCCCTCCCTGGGCCTCCTTTTCATCTGTGAAATAAGAGGCTTGGATTGCATGATCCCTAATAGATGCCTTCTGGCTCTGAAATTTCTGTGGTCTTTGATTTCTATAAGGTTTTTGTTAATACCAGCAAACCCAAACATACTGTCTTTTGCATGAATTAAGATACTGAAAATAAAAGAAGGTATAAGCTGCTATCTTTTTTTGCAAAGGAATTAGGCCATTTTCTACTAGATGCCTTCATTTCTCTGGTTAGCACATTTTCTCCCCTTGTTTATACAGGTCCCTCCGGTAATCCAGCATCCCCTGCGACGTGACTCGTCTTTCTACACTAAAAAAACAGCAATTTTATTGACCCCTTTGACTGAACTCTAATGAAGTTTTAACTCTTCCTCCTCCAGCTGCCTCTTAGCATCTCTCCCTTATGTCTCTTTTCTCCCGTCCTGCTCCATCTCCTCCTCTTGTTCTCTTTCTTTCTTTTTTAAAATTTTCCCTTATTTTAAAAATATGCCTATGAGATACCTGGCCTGAGTGTTTCTTAGAGCAGACTACAGCCTTGCACGGCCCCAGCATTGCGTGGGCTCTGAGGTTCCTCACGTGTGACATGGCACATAGTACTTACTGACCAAAAGAGATTCCCTGCCTGCTGTACAAGGGTAGATGCTAATTCTTTATTTGGGCAATAATTTGCAACTGCTTGTATTCTGACATTAGGAGGGCAGCCTGCAAAACAAAAATCATTACGTATTTGGTAGGAATCTATCAATCAGGTGAAAAAGTTATTGGTAATAGAAATTGTGGAAGTTCTAGTTAGATGGGGTTTCCAGATAATTAATGGGTAACATTAAAAATTGGATTACATACAACGATTAATGCATGCTTTAAATATCCTTAATTTTGATCACTTAAAGGGTGTCAGATGATTGGCTAGGGAGTGCATTTTTCTGATAATACTCCTTTCTCTTAAAAAAAAAAGCAGTTCCTGTGTGGTGACCTCCAATGAGTTCTACACAATGGTATAAAGGGCATATCAAAGTTTGTGTTTATACAGAGGATCAAAGCCTAATTTGGCTACCCAGAAAATGAACTAAGATACCATATGAAGAACTTCCAACATCACCACTCTCTGGAAGAGTCATACCAGAAGATGATCACCAAAAAACCTCAACAAAGATCCAGGCGATGCTGCAGTTGTAGCTGCATTCATCCCACCAGTTCCTGGACTTGCCATTGGAATGAAGAAGGAGATATCTAAGCTGGCCTGTGCATACAGTAAAACAACAAATTTGACTGGATCTATACTGTTGGAACTCAACCAAGAATTAGAAGTGCAAGTTGTAGCGCTCCAAAATCTTACGACTACAG